AGGGTTCAGGGTCAAAAGAAGCCCTAAACCCTAAACCCCTAAACCCTAAACCCTAAACCCTATAAACCCTGAACCCTAAAAACCCTGAACCACAAAGGCATCCATGCCCATGCCCCAGATAGTAGATACTTGAACACCAGAAGTGGCTCTATGGCTCTATGGCTCTATGGCTCTATGGCTCTATGGCTCTATGGCTCTATGGCAACTACGCTGGGTTTAGGGTTTATCGGGTTTAGGGATTAGGGTTTAGAGTTTGGGGTTTTGGGACCCCAAAGCCTAAACCGGCTACCGTTTATCTGTTCGTTCTTCAAGAGCCAGGTCGTTTGAAGACCTTTTCAGTGCGCGTCACCGTGGCGGCGCTCAGCTTCAAAGCCTACCACCTGTTCAACCAAATCCTTGCTATAAACCTGCCGGACTAACCTCAGCAAGCGCAAAATACAAACTATGCCAATAATTCAGGTACCTTTCCTTGGCTGATCTCAAACTGATGCGTGGTCCCACTCCAGGGAGGCCCCCGCACCCCGGTGTGATTCCACTACAGGGAAGCGCCCCCCCTCCCCCCCCCCCCCCCCAGTTGTAAATAGAGTTCATCGTGAGGGCCTGTCGGTGGGGGACCCTTCAGTCCAAGTTCAAGGATCTATATCGGCACGGCCTGAGATTAACAGCAGGGACATGGCACAACCCTAAACCCTAAACCCTAAACCCTAAACCCTAAACCCTAGGCAATAGGAAAGCTCAAAGAGCCCCACAGGCCTCGCAGGGGGCGGTGCCATACCTCGCTGCACTGCAGGCTGCGGCCATTTTTAGGATTAGGGTGTAGGGTTAGAGGTTTAGAGGTTTAGAGGTTTAGGGTTGAGGCTTTAGGGTTTAGGGTTTAGGGTTTAGGGTTTAGGGTTTAGGGTTTTCGGGTTAAGGGTTTAGAGTTTTTAGGGTTTAGGGTTTAGGGTTTGGGTGCTTGCGCAGCCAGATGAACGGGGTTTAGGGTTTCTTGTCTTGGGTTTAAGGTATCTTCCAGGGGTGCGACAGGGTCATTGCCCCGGAGCGCCAGGATGTAGTAACAGATCATGATCCTGAGCCGTAACACCTCACCTCTGAACCCTTCACCCTCAATCACAAATCCCAAACCCTCGAAAAGCCCTAAACCCTAAACCCTAAACCCTAAACCCTAAACCCTAAACCCTAAACCCTAAACCCTAAACCCTAAACCTACTGGTCCAAGGACAAAAATAGCTGACGACACGGACATTGAGTCGGGGAATTCTCCGGGGTGGCTTCTTCCAGATCTCGCACTGGGTCCTATAATTTCAGATCATTGAGGTTCGAAGGTTCCTTCTAAATCCACCCTACATGTAGGGTTTAGGGTTTAGGGTTCAGGGTTTAGGGTCTAGGGTCTAGGGTCTAGGGTACCCCAAACTCATTTTGTGCGAGCTTACTGGGGGGGGCATCCCTGTCAGACTTTGATTATGGGAGCTTGCGCACAGGAAGCACTTTAGAACCCAACACCCTTTGAAGTTTCGCGTTCGTGGTTATGTCTTCCAAAATGAGGGTCCTGTTTGGGCACCTTATTTCAAGGGTGCCGTTTTCTACAGGGAACCCCCATGACGGGATCCTAGTTCAGAGCACTACCCATATGGGGGTTTACGAAGATTTGGGAGCCCTAACACACCGCAAATAGTAGAATTCCCTTATTATATGGACCCCAAGAAGGTACCCCCAATCTCGTAAACCCCCATATACCCTAAACCCTAAACCCTAAACCCTAAACCCTCCATTGTGTTCCAGACAGGCCATGGCAGAACAGATCCGCCGAACGGAGTATGCCAAGATGGAGCACAAGCTCAAGGCTTTAAAAGAATTCCGACGGCTTCGGTTGAGGGTTTAGGGTTTAGGGTTTAGGGTGTAGGGTTCAGGGTTCAGGGTTCAGGGTTCAGGCTTTGGGGGGGTTGAGAGGGTTTCGCTTGGGGAGAGTCTGCGATAGACCCCAGCATGATCAGTTCTGGATGCCCTAAAACAGCAAAGGGCCATTGTCTATGAGGGATTCCAATGGGAACTCACCCCTGGGGCTGAACCTATGCAAACAATGCCTACATTAGGGATGTAGCGTTTGTAGTACCCTAATACCCTCATATCCTCATACCCTACTACCCCTAATTACCCCAATGCGCCATAATAGCCTAAACCCTCTTCGGAGCTTTCGGGTCTTGGGGTCAGAGAACTGACCACATCAACCCCCAAAGCGCCTCACACAAACGACTTGGAGCTTTGAGGGTTTGGGGTTCATGGGGGGTTTCGAGCCTTCGGGTTTGGGGACTCAGTGGGGTTTTGGGTTTTAGGGCTTTGTGGTTTTGTGCGTTAGCCATCGTTAGCCATTGTTAGCCTAGTTTTACGGTCTGGGGTTTCTGAAGCTTGCAAAAGCCTGTGGCGACTACATGCATGGCTCATTTGCTTTGCCTGGTGGCTGAGAAAGGCCTCCGACTCTCACAGTACCCTGCAAACATTCGCAAGCGGATGCCTTTTGCTACAAGGAGCAAAGCTCACGATCCGGGCAACTTCCTCTAGAAACGTGCCCGCAAGTGCTGGGTCGGCGCCGAGTGAAGACCTGAACCCCTCAACCCGAAGGCTCTAGAGCTTCGGGCAGTTTAGGGTTTCATGTTTCGTGGCCTCGACTTCATGCGGTTTAGGGTTTAGGGTTTAGGGTTCAGAGTTTAGGGTTTAGGGTTATAGGGTCTAGGGCCTAAACTGACCTTCATGTCCTAACCTTCACGCTGACTTGAGCTCGCCAGGGCCTGCAGGACAAGGAGAAAGAGGCGCTGGACAAGCTGACGAGGCAGTTCCCCCCTGGTTCTTAGTAGGGAATGGGGGAACTTGGTGGTTTAGGGTTTAGTGTTTATTAGGGTTTAGGGTTTAGGGTTTAGGGTTTCGGGACCCTACATACTCCCAGAAAGGGTAAATATAGAGGGCTATAGGGTACCTCATTCCCGCAGTCCCTACGAAGAATAGTCAGTTTGTAGTCAGGGTTTGGGGTCCTTTCTCATTTCGGAGAGGGGGGAGAAGGTCATGGTTTCATTGAAGCCCCATCCGGCTCTAAAAATCTTGGGGGCATGCTGCGATCTACAGCGATTCTCACATTGTACTATGAAGCTTGTTGGGTCATCAAAAGCCCAAACCATAAACACTAAACCGTAAACCCTACTAAAAGAGAACTAGCCGGCCTAGGAGGCACATGCCGGTTTAGGAAGGCACGATTGCGAACTTTCTTGCAGCGTCCCACGCACCAACGACCTACACCTAGTGTTTAGCTTTAGGGTTTAGGGTCAGGGTTTCAGGGCTAGGGTTTAGGGTCTAACCCGAAAAGGCCCTTCGCGCCCTAAACCTTAGCCCCTGAACCCCTTAACCCCGAACCCTAAACCCAACTTGCCACAAAGGCCCAGACCTTCAGCTTAGAGCGCGCACATGACGAAAGCGGCAAGTTGTGCGCTATGTTGTGCACACACGTGGACGACTTCTTCTGGGCAGCGTTCGGTGAGGGCGAGTTGAAGATTCAGCAGTTGCTGGACCACTTCAAAACCGGTCGAATCGAAGAGGGTAGCTTCAGGTTCTGTGGCAGAGAATACGTTCAGCACCCCGATGGCACCATCGAGATCAATTCAAGAGACAACACGCGTGCCATCACTCCCCTCAAGATCCCCAAGAATGCGAAGATGACAACACATTTCACACAAGGACAGAGAACAGCGCTCCGGTCTGTAATCGGCTCACTCGCTTGGGTGGCCAGAGCCACAAGGCCCGACCTTATGTATAGTGTCAATGCACTGCAACAGTGCGATCGCTCCCGAAATGCTAGGGTTAGGGCTTAGGGAAGGAGGGAGTTCAGTTCAGGGTTGAGGGTTGAGGATTCGAGGTTCAGGCTTTAGGGCTCATAGCGTTTTCAGTTCAAGGTCCAGGGCTCAGAGCCCTGAGACCCTGAACCCTGAACCCTAAACCCCAAACCCTAAACCCTAAACCCCAAACCCTAAACCCCCAAACCCTAAACCCTTTGGGTTTAAGTCGGTTTCAGGTGCAGAGCTTGGCTTGTTGAATGACTTGGGGTAGCGAGGCACATCGTGGACCAGCTCTTCCGCCCCGTGTACTATTCCATGAAGGAAGTTGCTTGCTTCCTTTGCTGTACCCCCTAAGCCCTAAGCCCTAAACCCTAAAAGACTTCAGCCACAAACGCTAGACTTGCTTAAGAACAGGGGCCCTCATTTTAAGGCCGTTCGGTTTCCTTGCACAATCTCTTTAAAACTTGTTCCTAGCTTTTAGGGTTCAGGGCTAGGGGCTTAGGACTTACTCTAAGAATCCAAAACCTACTTCTGTTGTGGGTTGCCTCACACATGACCTACCAAAGAAGTAGGTTGTGGGCTCTAAAGGTAGGGTTTTGCGACTCTGAACCATAAGTATGGTTTCAGCCGTTGTGCATTTGTACTCAGGGCAGCCACGTTCAGACTGCAAGGCTTCGATTTGCCGAGTCCTTTTCATTATTTTTGGGGGAGGCTCCTTCCCCTCTGAACCAACCGCAACAAAGCTCCAACCGGTTGACCCTGCACTTCAACCTCCCCCCCAAAAAAAAGTAAACAACTAAGCACAAAACACACCTAAAGCATCCACAAAGGATTATAAACTGTTTGAAATCAACATCTAGGCCCTCATCACTAACTCCGAAAGCAAGCAAAGAGAAAATGAACCCCCAACGTGTTTAAGAGTCTAGGCCCTCTGAAACTTCTTGCCGGAGTCCGAGTCATCGTGAAGCCCATAGTGCGATGAAGCCATGTCATGAAACAGGGTTCTTATGACTGCTCTTGGTGAGTGTGTTTAGACCCCAATGTCTATACTTGGAGGTTATAAATAGGGTTATATGGGCCCCAAATTGGGCTATAAGTCTTACTCTGTAGGTTATATCTCCTTGAACTATATAAGGTTTGTATACTAAGGGAGCCCCTACTTGTAGATGTTCTGACGCCATGGCCTCTGTTGGCCCCAGTCCATCGCCGAGTCGGTTTGGAGGCGGTGACGTTCTACTTTTAACATGGATGCCCAGTAGTGCCCTTATTCCTTTTTGGGGGGGTTAGGTTCCCTTATAAACCCCTTTAAGCAAAAGGGGGCACCCTTTTTAAGCCTTGGTTACTGGGCAGCCTAGTAACCTACCAGGACGGGATATTCTACCCTATAACCCCCTAGGACCGGGAGTAGACCCTTATATATATATATGTGTATATATATATATATTTTTTTTTTTTTTTTTTGGGGGGGGGGGGGGGGTTGGGGTTCCCTTCTAATCCCCTTAAAAAGGGTACCCTTTTATTCCCAGGCTACTCCCGGGTCTAGCCCCTTAAAAAGGCCCTTTATGGGGTTGATGATGGGGATTCTAGGGCTTAATAGGCCATCCTGGCAGCGGCACGTGGAATGTCTGAATGCTCAAGCGCTAACTGTTGGCTAAACCTCAAAGGGGGTAGGCTTGGTAGCTTGTTGCAGCTCTATGCTAAGCAGTGACAAAATTGTGCCTTGAAAGACACAATCAAAATCAACTTGTTCACGGCGCAACCATCACTTCTAGAAAATACGACAACTGTGCATTGCTACCCACAATATTCATTCCCGGTCGTCCGTTGTCATGCCTTCTGCGATGAAGTTCAATGCCAAGCCACACCCTCAACCCTGAACCTGGATGGTAGGCCCTTGGAAAGTTTACATTTTCCCTTGTTGGGTTTAAGAGGGGTCCTTTTGAGGAACATTTTTTGGAGAGTTTGGAGCTTTGAACAGCATGGTTAATGGAACCCGGGGCTGAGGAACCCAGAAACCAGGCTATTTGAGGGCTTTGGGCGGCGTAGCTAAGTCCATAGTCGTACTGCAAATGGACAGCCTGGGGAAAGTAACCCTAAGCCCTACACCCTACACCCTAAAACCTAAACCCAGAACCCTAAACCCTCAACCCTAAACCTTAAACCCTGAACCCAATAGGTAGTGGAGGTGCACTAAAGAGTCCGAGCTGCAGTTGCTCCAAGCATCGGCAGCAGGTGCTAATCAATTTTTATTTTGTTCATATAAAACCAAAGAGGATGTTGAAGATGTTGTTGTTATTAAGGTTCTAAGAGGAGTATAGCTTAACCGAAACCTTTTGTGACACAGAGTTGCTGCTACTATAGGACCCGGAGTAGGCCCTTATTTCCTTTTTTCAAGGTTGGGGTTCCCTCATAACCCCCTTAAAACCAAAAAGGGTACCCTTTTCATTCCTGGTTACTCCTGGGTCATGTTTACGGGGCATATTGTAAGGGGCTACGTAAGTATACAGGGACTACACAGCGTATGTGTAGGGGAATAAGGTTCAGGGTCCCTTCTAGGGGTCCCTCCTTATACCTTGGGATGTTCCCCCTTATACTAACAGTCCTTAATAGGGCTTTTTTTTATGTAACGATAAGCGTTTCATTAAGGACTGTTAGTATAGGGGGAAAATCACAACACACAGTTGCTGTTGTTATTCAGGGTCTGGGGCCTTGTAGGGCTTAGTTTGTGTTCAGGATGCAGGGTTTAGGGCCTTTTTCCAGTGGATCAAGGCCTACAAAGGCTAAACCTTGGGATGTTCCCCCTTATACTAGCAGTCCTTAATAGGGGTTATACTAGGGGGGGTACTATAATCCCTAATGAGGACAGTTAGCATAAGGGGGAACATCCGAAATTGGACCATGCTTCCGACCGCACTACTTGCTGTTCCCCGACTCGCCCCATGCACTGCCTCAGACTTCCTCCAGCGCTCGCGCGCTCTCTTCGAGCAAGCGCAAGCCACACAGACGCCTTCCCCACCCCGTGGCCTGACATGCACTTGGTGTAGCTTGTGAAGGTTGGGGGCTCCGAAAACATTAAACCCTAAGCCATAAACACTAAACCCTAAACCCTGGGGGAGGTTTGGGGTTTGCTTTTGAGTGGGTTTTCAAGTATCCAGGGCCGGCAAAACGAGTTGCTGTCCCCGAGCGCAGGCCTGCTCAAGACCCCTTCATCCAAGCAGACGGCTAAGGGCAGAAAGGTAGCGCCACGAGTATGCTCTTCGTTCAAACCCTATAACCCCAAACCCTAAACCTAAACCGCATTTTAACATGCCTTAGTGGGAGCGAGGCTGGCTTTGAAGCCTAGAAAAATCATCCCAGAGGGTTTAGGGTTTAGGGTTTAGGGCTTAGGGTTTAGGGTTTAGGGTTTAGGGTTTCGGGTTTAGGGTTTAGGGTTTAGGGTTTGGAGGGCTATAGGGCTTCACTGTCTCGCGCCACTGCTCAGGGCGTCGCTATCGCTTCAAGTCCCCGCCGTCGCCGGAGGCACCGGCCGGCGCAGGGTTTCCGTTACGAACCTTAGGGGAGGGTTTGGGCTTTAAGGTTGCGGCGGTCTAGGGTTTACGGTTAGGGTTTAGAGTATAGGGTTTAGGGGTTCTGGGTTTGGGGTTTAGGGTTTGGGCTTTAAGGTTTGGAGTTTAGGCTCGAGGGTTTGGGAGCTTAGGGTTAGGGCTGAGAGGTCGGGATTTCTTTTTCGGTTTTCGAGTTTGGGGTGCAACGGCGGGAGTTTTGTTAATCGGGTTACAGTTTGCAGGGGCTCTTGCTTGGAGATACTCAGGGTTTAGGGACAGGGGACTGCGCAGGGTTCTTGTACAGTTTCACAAACCCTAAACCCTAAACCCTAAACCCTAAACCAACTTGACTCCCTGAGAGCCCCAAACCTCAGTTGGGAGTATGAAAGCTTAGCTTGAAAAGTCCGAAACTTATGGGTAGTTTTCTAAATTAGGGCCCATTTTTGGGTACCCCTTATAAGGCGGCACCCTTTAGAAAAGGGTCCCCAAAAGGGACCCTAATTGAGAGAACTACCCTTATGGCAGGAACAGGAAGGAAGAAGCCGCCCCTCCCAGTACCCTGAACCCCATGGGGCAGGTTGCGGGGCTTAGGGTTCAGGGTGTAGGGTCCATGTAGGGTTAAATGTTTTTTGGGATGGTTCAAGGTTTAGGAGGGTTTAGGGTTTAGGGATTAGGGTTTAGGGTTTAGGGTTTAGATTTTTGGGTTTAGGGTTTAGGGTTTAGGGTTCGGGTTTAGGGTTTAATAATAGGCTCTCTTTAGTGTGTCCCCTGCCCCCCACCCCCCCCCCCCCCCTTCAGAACAATCGAAGCTGGCTTTCGCTCTTTTTGCACGGTCCCACGGTTTTATTTGTTTTTAATAGGGAGGAGTGGAGTTTATATAAGTCAAAAGGGGCAGCGATGCCCGGCAATTGGTTTGACGGGTTGCGATTTTCTTACGGCACTGGGACGATTTGATTTAGTTCCGGATCGCACGGCGCACCCCGAACAGTCAGGCCTAAACCCTAAACCCTAAATCCTAAACCCTAAACCCCCCCCCCCCCCCCCCCAAAAAAAAAAAAAGGGAGCTCAACAGGCGGGTCTAGGTCGGGTCTTAGCAGGAGTTGCACACCCTAAACCTTCAACCTTCAACGCGAACGCCATACCAAGCTGTCACCCTAAATCCTAAACCCTAAACCCTAAACCCTAAACCCTAAACCCTAAACCAAGCTGTCGGCAGGTGTCCAAGACCACCAAGGCGTTGCCTCCCCCGCAAAAGGTGGAGCCGGAGGTTGGGTTTAGGGTTTAGGGTTTAGGGTTTAGGGTTTAGGGTTTAGGGTTTAGGGTTTAGGGTGTAGGGTGTAGGGTTTAGGGTTTAGGGTTTAGGGTAAACGGTTTAGGGTAAGGGGGGTTTCAGGCCCTTCTAAGCGCTAAACTCTCAGGGTTTGGATTTAGGGCTTACATGTAGGACCCTTGCTATTCAGGTTATAGTTCTCTTAGCTAAAGATAGTATCGTAAGTGGGCCCCCCACCTGTAGGTTCAGGGCTTAGGGTGTGCAGTGTACGCGCGTGCGGAGAGTACGTGTTTTCTTTAGATTTCGGGGCGCAATCGCTCTTGCATAGCTTAGTAGCCCCACTCTGCCAGGTTTGTAGGGTTCGACCCCCGGCAACCCCCTAGTACCTTTCTAGGGAGGCTTGCTTGCTCTTATTCAGTCGCGAAAGGGTGAGCCCTGTCCGAGACGCTCGAGCACCCATGAACATGGGTCCTCTTGCCAGTTTAGGGACCACCCTAAACGCCCTACTGTAGGGTTTTAGTTGAAGGTACTCCTTACGCCCTTATTAAGGGGTACCCGGAGATGCATTTCAGGGTTTGCTGAGGCCTTGAGTGCTTTCGTGCGCAGGTGGAAGCGCAAGAACCCTAAGCCCTAGACCGCAAACCCTAAACCTTACTAAACCCCTAAAACCCTAAACCCTAAACCCTAAACCCTAAACCCTAAACCCTAAACCCTAAACCCTAAACCCTAAACCCTAAACCCTAAACCCTAAACCCTAAACAAAACCCTGTAAGACCTACGAGGGTCTTGCAAGTCCGCGGGGCTTAGGGGTCAGAGGTGTGTAGCCTTGGATCTCAACTTGTACCCAAAGTCTAAAGCTCCTAAGACCCTAAACCTTGAGTTCAATCCTCAAACCAAGCTCTAACACCTAATTAACACCCTGAACCCTAACACCCGACACCCCGGGACCCTAAAACCCTCTTTACCCTTCACCCAAAACCCCAAAATCCTGTACCCTCAACATCAAAACCTTAGTCTTAGGGTAGTTGCATGGTCCCTGAATGTGGTTCCTTGATTGGGGGACCCTTTTATACTCCTTACAAACCCTTGCAACACCAAGCCCTACACCGTAAAACCTAAACGCTAAACTAAATACCCTAAACCCTAAACCCGAAACCCTAAACAAACCCTAAACCCTAAACCCGTAAAGCCAGAACCTGGAGGCGCTTCTGAAGCGCCGCCGCTCCGCTTCGCCCCGGAGCCCTCCTCACCAAGCTCGCAAGCGCGCGGCCGCCTCGTGCGATTCTGGGGGTTGGGGGTTTAGGGTTTAGTGTTTAGCGGGTTTTCTTTGTTTTGTTTTTGTTTTGTGGGGGGTGGGCAGGTTGGGATTCCAATTGTGTTAAAGGTTCAAGTTCTGAGCACTTCGACCCAAGGGGATGTTGTGAACGAAGCAGGCCCAAAGCCATGTTTCATGAGGCTATAGACCTCAAACCGTCACGGAACGTAGCCGAAACCCTACACCCTAAGCTCTAAACTCCAAACCCTATAAAGATTGAACTCTAAACCCTAGAAACCCCTAAACCCTCAACGGTTTGGGGGCCCTTCGTTGAAATTCCGAAGTACCATACCCTACAATAGTCCTGAGCCTGCAGAGTAAACCCTAGACCCGGGGCCGTAAACCCTGAACCCTAAACCCTAAGCCCTAGACCCTAAACCCTAAACCCTAAACCCGAAACCCTAAACCCTAAACCCTGAACACTGAACCCTGAACCCCTGGATGCTGGTGCTTCAATCACGGGGGTTGCAGCTCAGGTCTCATGCGGCTCAGGGGTTCTGATTGTGGAGGCTCTTGCATGCTCAGCTGTTTAGGGTTTAGGGTTTAGGGTTTAGGGTTTAGGGTTTAGGGTTTAGGGTTTAGGGTTTAGGGTTTAGGGTTTAGGGTTTAGGGTTTGGGATGCTAAGCCCAAGCCCTAAAACCCTAAACCCTAAACCCTAAACCCTAAACCCTTCAAGAAAGACCCCACCTCTCTCCATTGAAACGTTGGGCCTTTCTCAACAGCCCTTTTTGGCAACCCTAAGATTAAGAACCCTTGAATTTAGGGTTTAGGGTTTAGGTTGAAGGTTTAGGGTAACTGTTACCAGCCCTTTTTACATCCCTCAAGCACCCTTAGATACCATTAGCAGCCCTTAATAACCCTAAGCAGCCAAGGTGCCAGCAGAGACGCCTCCCCAAGCGACTCCTCCGCCCAAGGCGCGGTGGTCGAGCTTCATAACCTGTACCTTGAAGGTTTGGCCTTGTAGGGTTTTATTGTGGTTAGATGTCGAGGTTCTGAGGTGTTTACGGGCTGAGGGCTGAGGGCTGAGGGCTGAGGGCTGAGGGCTGAGGGTTTAGGGTTTAGGGTTTAGGGTTTAGGGTTTAGGGTTTGGCGTATCAGGCCTTCGGAAGCTATGTGGCTGCCAGTGGTCAGTTCCCCAAGCCAGGCTATAGGTCCATTTTGGGTCACTGTTACAATACCTGCGCGGCAATAACCAAGCGCCCAACCCTAAAACCCTCAAGCCCTGCTAACGCTAAAACCCTTAAGGCCCAAAACCCTAAACCCAAAAACCCTAAACCCTAAAGCCCTAAAACCCTAAAACCCTAAAACCCTAAAACCCTAAAACCCTAAAACCCTAAAACTCTAAAACCCTAAAACCCTAAACCCTAAAACCTTTAAACCCTAAACCCTAAAACCCTAAAACCCTTAGAGCCTCACCCTCAATCCTTAACAATGTCGGTGGGGCTACACGCCGGCTTTTGTTAGAAATGAGACATGATCTGCCCTCTGGGACCACAGACCTTTAGGGTTCAGGGTTTATTTCAGTGTTCCTAGGGTTTGGGGTTTAGGGTTCGGTTTGAGGGTTTAGGGTTTAGGGTTTAGGGTTTAGGGTTTAGGGTTGAGGGTTTGGGGTTAAGGGTTCAGGGTTGGTTGGGAGGGAGGGGGCATCTTGTCTTCGTCCTTCGGGGTTCGATTTTCGTGGTTGGGGTTTTGAGTGGTGTGGGGTTTACAAGGAGGGGCCCCCAACTATTCATGAGTTGTCGTTGCAATTACAACTAGACACCCGAAACCCTAAACCCTAAACCCTAAACCCTAAACCCTAAACCCTAAACCCTAAACCAACTTCGGCCCTTTAGAACTACACACTGGGGCCCGGGATGATCTACAGGTCCTCTTCTCAGACCCTGGGAGGATCCCAAAAGTAGATCCCCTTAAGGGTTTAGGGTTTAGGGTTTAGGGTTTAGGGGGTTCCTCAAAAAGACCCAATTTGGGTGGTTCTACTTTTCGGATCCTCCCAGAGGGGTCTGGGTTGAGACATTGTTCAGGGCTCCTAGGGGCTTCAAGAAGGGAACTCGAGCGTCATTTTGGGAACCGATTTGTTCATCAACTGCCTTTGGGTCCCCTGTAAAGGGCGTCGCCCTTATATAAGGACGCCCTAAAAGCATCAACTTTTATAGAGAACTACCCACATAAATCTTCTATAACCTGAACTTAGTTTGTGAATATGTACACGTAGATGATGTCATGTTGAAGTTCGGGGTGCTGGCAACCCTACTACCGTAATTAGACCAGAAACCCGTATGAGCCCTACTCCTAGCGGCAGACTCTCGAACCTGCCAGCGCCATCATCTTTAGCAGGCTGTTAGCCTGACCCTCTGCCCCCTTACTTTCACAAGTTGTGTCCCCAACAAAGAGCCCAAAACCCCTCAAGAAAGGAACATGCCTTAGTACATTACGGATCCTTAGTGTGGTTTAAGGTATATTGTGGTTTAAGGTATATTCCTTCAGGGGCATTGGGCTCTCTGGGTCTAGCTGAACCGTTGATTTGTTCCGCTCAGCTAGTGAGAGGTTGTCCCAGGCTAGCGGATCCTGTGCACTGCGAGGCAGCGGCCAATTGTTTTTAGCAACCAAACTTTAGGGTTTAGCGTTTAGGGTTTAGGGCTTAGGGTTTAGGGTTTAGGGTTAGGGTTTAGGGAACTTCAAAACAAGAGAAGGAAGCAGTCAACTACATAAATCACAGTCGATTGCAAAACCAAAGTTTATTGAATCATGTTGCGTCTCCTGACAGCATGGCCTGCCACTCTCCTAATCAAAAAAATGCAAGCCAGCAATGCATACGTGTCATGACATGGTTCATCAGCACGCAAGATGCCGAATGTTTCCGAGCTGAACCATTGCGATCATCAGCCAATCTGGCATGTCAATACTCAACGATCCCAGCAACATACATACTGTGATGTGCATGCTTTAGCTGAGAGCATCGTGCGAGTGTTGCTAGGGGATGCCGCGCCACATGACCATCAGTGCTGGGCTAATAGCACCCTGAGCTGGTTGCGGCGCCAATGTGTTGCACGAAGCTGGATATGCATTTTCTTCGCCAGCAAACTTTCAGAAGCCGGAAATTCCGATAGCAGTGTGAACGCATTCTTATGCTTTTGACCGGCACTGCCCTGAGGCCTGCTGGACTTTATTTAGGCCCTCCACGCACAACCGTAAACCCCAGCAAGGCCCCAAAACCTATGCCTTAAGCCTTCTTGCCTGATCATACCTTTGCCCACAACCCCCTAAACCCAGAGGCTCTTCTCAAACGCCTTCGCTCACCTTCCCACCGGAGCGGTGGGAAGCATGCATCTCGGCAGTTTTTTGATACCCAACGCGGGCTCCAAACATGTTGGTTAACATACCAGGCTGCAAGAGCTCTGTTCAAGCACACCCAAAATACGCTCTCTTTTTTTTTTTTGGGGGGGGGGGGGCTAGGTACCTTCTTACTATCTATTGATTGAGAGTTGCAAGTTTCGGGCTTACTGTGGGCCTTGTAATCCAAAAGCTCCTGCTGTTGCTGCTGCACTCCTGGGGCTTTTTGGGATGCATCTACTATATGAGCGCAGGGAACCTTCGGACGAGGACAACAGTGTAGGGATCTAGATTATTGCAGCTAGCTGACAGCGAAGACCGCCAACCCCTTCAAAATATATCGGGTATATATATATATATATACATATATGTATATAAATAATATATATATATATGTATATAAGGCACTCCCCACCCCTCCGTCCCGAACTTCCCACGTCTCCACGATTGCACACAGCGAGTGACGAGTGAGGCTGCAAGGCCCGCGCCGCGCCGTTCCTCTGACATCCTGCGCCCGCCTGCGATGACGCTGTGTTTGGGTGGCTCGGTCCTCATTCCCGCTATAAGGGTCCATGTACCTCATTATTATATACTTGGGCCCCAAAGTCCCTATATAGGTGGCACTTTAAGGCCCAAGTATTCAACATGTAGGCACATGGATCCTTAGGGCCCAGGATGGGCTTGGCCCTATCATCCCAGGGTACAATAGCCCGTCCTGGTTGCAAGGCCATCCCTACTTGAACCCCTACACTGTAAGCCCCATCCTCCCCCCTCCACCCCAGAAAGAGAGAGAGAGAGAGAGAGAGAGACAGAGAGAGAGAGAGAGAGAGAGAGGGAGAGAGGGAGAGAGAGATGGTGAGAGAGCACACCCTAAACCCTACAAGTTAAACCCTTGTTGGAGTCGTTTGTTTCCCTCAAGCCCCCTAAACCCTTAACCCTAAACCCCAAACCCCAAATCCCCAACCCTCAACCCTAAACCCTAAACCCTAAACCCTAAACCCAAAGTGGGGACAAGGGTGCTGGGAGTCAGGACTGCCCTTCGCGTGGCAAGAGATTCAGGAGATGGCAGCAGCTGAGACGCAGCCTGGACATCGATGGCGATGTAGGGCTTCAGGTTCATAAGGTTTAGGGTTTAGGGTTTAGGGTTTAGGGCTTAGGGAGGGTGTAGGGGTTTTGGGGTTTAGGGATGTTTAAGGTACTTTTAGGGCGGGTTGCAGGGTTTTAGGGTTTAGGGCTTTTAAGGTTCTGGGTTTACAGGGTTTGGGGATGAGGGTTTAGGGTTTCAGTGCTCAGGATTAATGTTTTGAGCTCATGTTGCTCAGGTGCCTTCAATATTTGTATTTGGTTTGGGGAGGTTGCAAGGTGTTTCTGAGCCGGCTGTCAGGTTACGAGAAATATTTGTACCCGAGTAGGTGCAACCTGGAACCCTTGTCCGGGCAGTATGGTCCAAGTAGAACCATAAACGTTTTGGGTTTAGGGTTTAGGTGCCCAAACCCTATAATTTCCAAAACCAGTCGGCAATCCTGAGGAAACTGGGCAAGTGGTTTAGGGTTTTGGGTTTAGGTATCGTGGCCCTGCTAGATGGCTTGCCAGGAGTAGTGAACCGAAAATGTTGTCAGTCCAGCAACGACCAGATATTTCGCCTATCATATAGACAATAGCCGAGTTCTATTAGTCCCTTATCGCTGGCTTCTCATTAAGTGGGCACTAAGTAGGCCCCTCGAATTTTGCTAAGTCACCGCGCATACCCTGGGCTGAAGGCCACACAGCACCCCTTGCTTTAGGGTAGAGGGTTGAGGGTTTAGGGTTGAGTAGCCCAGTGGAGGCCTGTTGCACTTCTTGTGGTTCTAACTTTATTTAGAATAACCCAAAATGGGTACCCTCAATGTACCCTCGTTGTACCATAATACGGTTACTGGGCTACCAAGCTTGTATCCCAAGGGTTTAGGGTTTAGGGTTTAGGGTTTAATCCCGACCTCAAAGGTGTTCCAAGATCACCCCCCGCTTGGAAGATGATGCGCCACTTCCCGAGGCTCCTGGGCTACTGCTGCCCAAAATAGATATCAATGGGGTGAACCGAAAATGAGGGACCCCAAATGTAGTCTCTTTAATTGTGGGATTCCCTTAGAATAAGGACCCCAAGAACGACATTCCTACTTTCGGAAACCCCCATATGCATGTCTATCTACGCGTGTATTAATTATATGTCTGTATGTATGTATATATATATATATACAATATAGATACCTATTTCTTTATATAGCTTGGTACATCTATGTATATATATATATATGTATGTATGTATGTATGCATGCATGCATGTATGTATGTACGTATGTATCTCTCCCTCTCTCTCTTTATTTATTTCCTTTTTTTATCCATTGATTGATTTATATAACGTATTTGTTTATTTCTTTGTTTACTTGTTTCTACAACTATTTTTTATAGCTGTTCATCAGTCGACTAGCAAATCAGCATTACCTGTGTAACATGATGCCCCCCCCAAGAAAGACAAACAAATACCGTCAAGCCCAATTCAATAGCTTGACGAGGTTGGCGGCATGCAGGATTGAAAACCCTAAACCCTAAACCCTAAACCCTAAACCCTAAACCCTAAACCCTAAACCCTAAACCCTAAACCCTAAACCCTAAACCCTAAACCCTTTTGAATTTCGGTCGGGCAGGGATCCTAGATCTGTGAGGGGTTTAGGGTTCTTTTTGTTTTTGTGGGTTGAGGGTTTCGGGTTGCATCCCGGCATTCCTGCATTGGTCTAAGGTCTTGTTAGGGTTTAGGGTTTAGGGTTTAGGGTTTTGGGTTTTGGGTTTTGGGTTTTGGGTTTTGGGTTTTGGGTTTGGGAGCCCCTGATCTGCCAACGTACATGACATGGGATTCCGGGCGCTGGTTGTTAGCTTGGACTCTAAACCCTAAGCCCGGAGCCCAGAATACTCATACGGACCTAAAAGTGCACAGAAAATGGTCTTTGATCCCGAAAAAACTAAACTTTCAAGCAATCACCCTCCCAAAACCCAAATCCCTGAGCCCCTAACCCCTATCCTGCAAAAGATAAACCCTAAACACTAAAAACAAAACCCGAAACCCTACACCCTAAACCGTAAACCCCCACAAAAGAGCTCCAAACCCTCTATACCCCAAACCCCTATAAAAAAAGAAAAAAAAACTGCTTGGACGTTCATGGGCACTTATAAGTAGGGATTCAAATACCCTACATAAGGTCATAACCGTAGTTACCATACAACCCTACACCCTAAACCCAAACCCTAAACCCTAAACCCTCCTAAACCCTACTTCTAAGCGCCCATATGAACCTCCATGCGGACAGGAGCTCCCAGAGGAGGAGGAGGGGGAGGAGGAGCATCCTCTCTCAGGCCTGTACCTTGCCGAGGTGGTTCCCAACCGCACTTGCAGTTTAGGGTTTAGGATTTAGGGTTTAGGGTTTAGGGTTTAGGTTCAGGGTTCAGGGTTCAGGGTTCAGGGTTCAGGGCTTGAGGTTACGGAGTCTGGAGCTGAGGGTTTATAGGGCTTCGGCATTTAGCGTTGTGATTCTCGGGTACCGTTGCGTCAGCTTTACACGATCCTGGGCCGTGCAGCCGATGGGTTTCCGGTGAGAGGAGAATGATTTCCAAGCCAGAACGTTACCTAAAGGCTCCTGGGTTTAGGGTTTAGGGTTTAGGGTTTAGGGTTTAGGGTTTAGGGTTTAGGGTTTAGGGTTTAGGGTCTATGTAGTACCTTTTTTTAGGGCAGTAGACTAGAATCCCCTAGAACAAACCCAAGAAGGAACTACATTGGCCATTTGGAGCCTTTCAGGTACAACCTCATATGAACGGCCACTAAAGATTGCGTAGACAATGCTTGTGGCTTTTATGCAGCTCATGATGTGTCGTCCCTCAGGTCTGGGTTGGCAGAGCTTTATAAACTCCAAAACCCTCCACTCAACCCTATAAGCCTATATCCCTAAACCCCATATTTTTTTAGCCAAAACCCTGCACAACCTGAGCCGATGACCCTTCCCGGAACAGAGACCGAGCCCTTGGTGCCCTCGATGCACAGGACAGGAAAAGTGAAAGTAGGTCGCGCAGAGCTTTCTGACCGGCCAGGTCTACCGTGAGAATCGATTCTCATCCTAAAGCCAACCCTAAACCCCAAACCCTAAACCCCAAACCCTAAACCCTAAACCCAAGATCAAAAACCCTGAGCCCTACCGGCAGGCCTGGTTGTGCAAAGTGCCTTGCAGGGCTTGTAACTTTGGGCTTCTTCGCTATTTATGGCCCAGGTGGACCTGAATTGGGGGGTACTTAGGGTATCTTAAGGGGCACTTGGGCGGTGTCCAGGTAGGAACCCATGAGAAATACGTACCTTTAGAACGAGTCCCGAATGGCAGCCGAATTGGACTTGCCGGTCTATGGGTAGTTAAGAAACCAGATTGACACCGCACCCTTTACCTTTTTTTTTGGGGGTGTTCTGGGGTTCACTCATAACCTAACCAACCCCAACATAGGGGTGCCCTTATCAGAGCGCTGACAACTACTCCTGAGCTTTCAGTTGAGACTACTCAAAGCCATCCTCCAGTGTATAAGGCATATACTGAGCAGGAAAGAAAGGTCCCCCCCCCCCCCCCCCCCCCCCCCCCCCCCCCCCCCCCCCCCCCACCCCCGCCCCCAACCCTTTGAGCCAAGATCCTGTATGTAACCTATGCCCTACACCCTCTACCCTGGACCCTGTACCTTATACCCCAAACCCTCTCCCCCATACCCTATACCCTATACCCCGTATATGCCCTATAACCTATACCCGATGCCCTAAACTCTATGCGCTCTACCCTCTCTACCCTAGAATTACCCTATACCCTAAACCCTATACCCTATATTTACCTTATACCCTAGACGCTCTACCCTCTACCCTCTAATTTATACCCTTTTACTACTCCATACCCTAAACCCTTTTTCCTATACCCTATATGTTCCCTGTACCCCGAACCCTCTACCCTAATTTGGAACCCTAAACCCTAAACCCCAAACCCTAAACCCCAAACCCCAAACCCCAAACCCTAAACCCTAAACCCTAAACCCTAAACCCTAAACCCTAAACCCTAAACCCTAAACCCTAAACCCTAAACCCTAAACCAAGTTCAAGCCCTGGCTCAGTTGTAGGAGTAGAGGAAGGGGCCCTCCCCAGTTATACATTGGGTTACAGGGGTCCTAGATTGGGTTTAGGGTTTAGGGTTTAGAGTTTAGGGTTTATGGTTTAAGGTTTAGGGTTCAGGGTTTAGGGTATATACTTCCATTAACCGAAGTTGGTATGGTAAGGGGGCCCCGACTTGTAGAGCTCCTGCCCGTAGGAAGCTCCGTGGCGTGCATAGCAGGCCCAGTGTCTCTCACTCTATCGAGCTTTGGAGGTTTGCTTAGTGTTTTTGTTGTGGCGGTTTAGGGTTTATTGGGTTTAGGGTTTGGGGTTTAGGGTTTGGGATTTAGGGTTTGGGGTTTAGGGTTTTAGGGTTTGAGGTCATTCTGGGAGCCCGCTGCCACGGAAGCCCGACGTCGGATAGCCGGCAGCTGAACTACAGGCAGCCGCGCGTCACGATGCTTTGAAGTGCTGCTCCTTCTGCTTCCATGAGCAATTTCAAGTGGCCGAGTAAGCAAGTAAGACATTATAGTACTGTAGCCAAAAAAATCCCCTGATCCCTAAACCCTCACCCTTCGTACAGTACGATTAGATTCAACTACCTCCAATGAGCCATTCGAATGAAATCTTCCTTCTTCCCTAATCCATACAGCCCTGCTTAAGTCGGCTCTCAGGTTACGGGTACCGTTATCATCCTCCATCTTGCCACGCTTAATCGGGATCTTGGTAAGCAGGCTTACGTCTTCTATCCCAGCTCAGATTTCACAAAAGAAACCCAACTGGTCGAGCATTTATATAGGGTTTAGGGAACTGTCGTTCAGAACCGAGGTTGCACGCGTTTCCCCCCCAAGAACATTTGATAAACTTCTACTTGTACCCTGCCAACAATAGAATGAAGTAGTACCGGAGCCAAAATAGCAGTTACGAACGATCATCCACTTATAGTTCATTCAGGGAACTACGCAGCAATCCCATTCCACTTAAACAGGGTTTAGGGTCTTAACTTTAAACCCCCAAACCCTCATTGAATAACTACAGCTGGGATCGGCATGAAACCCTAAACCCTAAACCCTAAACCCTAAACCCTAAACCCTAAACCCAGAGTTGGGTTTTGGAGGGTTGAGGGTCTCGTTTTGTTCGGACCTTGTGCATAGGAGCAGATGGGTGGGCAAGGACGCAGGCTCTCCCTGAGGGCCCTTGTACCTCATGATTATATCCTTGGCCCCTCGAAGTCGCCATATCGGAAGTACTTTAAGGCCCAAGTACTCAATGTTTTCCTAAACCCTAAACCCTAAACCCTAAACCCTAAACCCTAAACGACATGGACCCTTAGGGCACTGGACACTTGCACAGCAGCTCGCGGACAAAACCAGGGCTGCTGCATGCCTCAGCAATTAAGGGTTCAGGGTTGAGGGTTTAAGGGTCAAGGGTCAAGGGTTTAGGGTTTAGGGTTTAGGGTTTAGGGTTTAGGGTTTAGGGTTGAGGATTAAGGCTTTAAGGACATAAGGGTTTGAGGGTTTAAGTGTGTTGAAAACCTGTTCGTAAACCCTGGGTCTTGTCGGCCCGAAGACCAGACTCTGCGTAAAGCTATGTGCGTACCTTGAGTCGACCGGCCAAGCCTACACTAAATGCCCGCACACAACGCTCGCACCAGAGGCTTGTCTTGTGGCAAGGGTTGAGCAAGAAGTCGTGCAAGGCATCTAAGGTTTGACTACCTGTGGGTTCCTAAATAGGGTGAAACTGTAAGCCCCCAAGATCCCTGAATTCCAGGCCCCACAGCCCCCAAACTCCTTCTTCCTCATCATGGCAGTAGCCTACTTTGCACGGTTTTCGCCGCAGGGCCGGGGTCCGCGTGCTATGCCAACTATAGTTAAGGAGACTTGCAACCTAAGTTTTGACACTCAGAACCCGAGTTTAGGGTTTAGGGTTTGGGCCCGTCATCATGCTACTTGAGAAGCCAGGGTGTCCCTGATTGTATGGAGGGCGCTGTGGGAAACCGTGTTCGTCGAGCTCGCCCATCCCCATATTGAAATGTATTGATACCCATGGAAAATGGTCTCTAGGTCTTCATGGTTCTGGCTTACTTACGGGTCATAGCTTGGGATGTTCCGCCCTTATAGTCAGAGTCCTTAACAGGGACTACAATCGGGGGGGGTACTCTAATCCCTGTTAAGGACTGCTGGTAAGAGGGGGAGCATCCCAAGTCATAGCTAATATCTGGCCCGATTCGTCACGGTTCGGTTCCTCCCTTCCTGCTAGGGTTTAGGTGGGTTGAGGGGGCTTCAGGTGGATTTAGGGTTTAGGGTTTTGGGTTTAGGGTTACTCCAGGAGGAAGAGAAGATGTCGGAGAAGAGGAACAAAATCCTCGCTGGGGGCCCGAGACGTGGGTATGTTGGGGCATACAGGGACAGGCATGGTTTAGGGTTTAGGGTTTACGGTTCAGGGTTCAGGGTACAGGGACGGGCGTCTGAAAGAACTACGCTGCAAGCCGCTAACCGTGTACTTGGAAGCCCTTCTGACTCAGTAAGTCTGCTCAGCATCATGATCCCCATCACCCACCTTACTATCCTTACTTACTAACTAAGTCAAGGGGGCTTCCAAGTATGAGCTTGTGGAGGGCATACGCTGAGTGACTACTGCCCAGTCGCTGGAAATGCCATTTTACTTACCGGCTGGTGGGCTTCTGACCCCTACATGTAGCGGCCCCCTAGAAATAAATAGGATTGTTAGGGGCCCCTAAATGGGGTTGTAAGTCTTACTATGTAGGTTAGAATTCTCTTAACTGAAGTTAGTATAGTCAGGGGGGCCCTACTTGTAAACCCTAAACTCTATTAAACCCTAAACTGGCCCCAGACCCTTAAAATCCTCACCTGCATGCTTGCAGGGCTCTGTCCATGTTGGGTTTTCGAGCCTAATCGAGGCCTGCGGTTCTCCGCCCCCGGAATTGTAGCTTGCTAAACCCTAAACCCTAAACCCTAAACCCTAAACCCTAAACCCTAAACCCTAAACCCTAGCTTTTTTCCTCGGGTACCTCAGAACTACATGCGAGACGAGAGAAGGTCTCCTTCAGCTACTTCTGTCAGTTGCTACCCACCCACCCCCCCCCCCCCCGGCCCCCGCCCACAGAAAAAACACACACACAGATATATATATATATATATATATATATATAATTATATAATTATATATATATATCTATATATATATATATATATATGTGCATACATTACATACATATTTAAAGTAAAAAAAGCATGTTTGAAGCAGTATCATGTCCATACAGGCTGACAGAAGTTGCCGCATTCAAGTGCTTCACCATGCCCACAGCGACTGCCGGCGACTCCAACCCAAAACCTCCAGACGCTAAACCCGACACCCTAAACCCTAAAGCCCGGCTAGACTACTCATACCCTCATCTATAAGGGCCCTTAGACAACTCTTACTCATAGCTCGACGTCTCCTCCTTGTCGACATTGTGCCGCATTCCCTAAACCCTAAAACCCTAAAACCTAAACCCTAAACCCTGAACCCTAAAACCCTAAACCCTAAACCCTAAACCCTAAGCCCTAAGCCCTAAGCCCTAAACCAGCACCAGGCGTTGAAGAACATCTTCCGCCATGGTCTCAGCCACGTTCGGTCGTCTGCTGGGTACTATAGGGGCCTTAATAATTAGCATAGGGTTTTGGGGTTTATCATAGTGCAACTATAAAGGGACCATAAGGGAATGCTGGGTACTATAGGGGCCTTAATAATTAGAATAGGGTTTTGGGGTTAATTATAGTGCAACTATAAAGGGACCATAAGGGAATACTATTCGTAATTCTTCCGACCCCTACAATAGTTCTCAAAATTGGGGTCCCTTTTTGGCAACCTTTTTTTTCGGGTAGCCAGGGTGGTTGGTGGAAATTGAATCTTGGTTTTGGGGGGTTGACTGGTGCATCTT